TTTTCATGTATCCTCAGAGACTTTTTTAATAATTTTCTGAGTGAGTGTTCCAACTTTTTCCTGTAAGAAATGAATAAATTACACTTAAGGAGGTGACACAATCATGTTTAACTCTGAATTTTCAAATATTTCAAATGTTTGAACTTTTGGCGTCTTTCTACAAACTACTCAATTGAGGATATATTTTACCTTTAAGGAAAAATTTTCCTAATTGATTTTTCATATGTAGTTATTTCAGTGCGGTGATGAAATTTTTTTTAATTGTTTTAGTTTTCGCACAATCTTTCGTGCAGTTTGTGCAAAATTAAAAGATAATAAAAACCAGTTTTGCTAAAAAATGGTTGAAAATGTTTTCTTGAAACTTTTGGTAGACAGTGCTAAAAGTACTGAGTTGACATAAATATCAGTTTGCTCTATTCTTTTGTTTTTTCGAAAATTACAAAATGTATTTTTCCTGACTTGTATCTCACATCAACATTTATATTAGTGGCGATTTATTCACATGTTGACGAGTACGTATGCTTAAAATAACGTCATGTAAGGTGTCCCAATCTCAACCGTTTTCTATGAAAGCTAACTCAAAATTCCGTATTTTTAGAAACGCTCAAACGCCATTTTCTCATAAACGGCTCGAAATTCTCCAAACTTTTCAAATGGCTAATGCAAATTGCATTCTAATATGACGTAAAGTTAATTTTTGTTAATTTTTTTTTCATAAATTTCACAAATGTAATTTTCTTAAAAGATCTCGCCCGACGTTTATATGCACATTTCCAGGAATTTGTAAACGATATATTTGTGAATTAAAGTGCTTCAAATGACTTCTAATGAAGTTTTTCGAAAACTGAAAACTAGTTTCAAATTTCGAAATTATAGTCGCCCATATACGCTATTTTACTAAAAACGACTAGGACGAGGTTTTACTGTTATTTAATATAATTAAAATATTTCCGCTCTATTAGGAAACCGAAAAAATACGAATTAAAAAAGTAGTTTCGGCGGCGATAGATGACAGCTGGCAAGAGTATGTGGCAAGTTCGAATAGCTAACAGGGACCAAAGAAAATAGAAAACTAAAACAGAAAGTGTGTCCAATTTTGTTGCATCATTAGTTTCTTTAAATTTCCTTTAAGAATGGAGTGAAATAAACTGACAAATGTAGCAGAGAGTTTTCTGACAAAAATTCGCCCCTTTTTCCCGCAGTGGTTAAATAACTTTCTCCGTGCCGCGTGAGTGGTAGTGTGTGGTAAAAATCATTATAGAAGTGGTGTTCTGCATCTCGCGAATTTCACCGGCGATGGCGAGGTACCAGGTGACGTTGAAATGGCGGTATAACATATCTAAAATAGGAATTTAAATTTAAAATTTCAATGTATTTTCCATGACAAAGCGATCGTATAATCTTGAAGAGGAAAACTTTAGTTTCATGATCTTAGCTTCGAATACCTCGAAGAACGGTCCAGGATACAGCTGTCTTTACGGAAAAACCTGTTTTTCCCTGAAGGAAATAACATTGCAGCGCATTTCAACAATCAATTAGTATTTTTCCTTGAGTCGCATTTAATTTGTTCGAATGCCTATGTAAGCAAGGAATGCTAAGTCTGTCATCCGTTTTAGGTTGTTTACAACTCTTGTGCACTACCTTTCGCTTTCTTAAAAATGTTAGTTTTCTCACGGGTGGCGAAGAAAACACCCAAGAAATTTTCCACCACTGTAATAACACCGTGGGGTTTTATGGAAATCACCGTATACCGCTTCTAAATCTCCCTAGAACCCTTTTTATCGCCAATGATAAGCACCCTGGTCTTGCACAAAATTCAACCACAATATTACAACCTCTATGACGTATTAAAGTTCCACTGTTTGCGCACAAAGCGCCTCCTGGGGAATGAAACGGTGACTCCTTACGTCCTTTCCGACCTTTTGGTCTCTTGTTTTAATCAAGCGTTGTTGTTTTCCGATCATTTACGGCGCAGTGTCTGAACAGTCTCCTATGGAGAATTTAACATCTTCACAAACAAATTCATGTGTCACGTCCTGAGGCAGTATAATTCTAGCAGCTTTTCAGTTATTTTTAGTTTTGAATCGACATCTCGAAAATTGTAAGTCATATATGTTTCATGGAATGCTACAAATGTTTGTTCTCTTTGCTTTGGTTGAATTTTTACATCCGTACTCGGATTATGAAATCGTCGAAAAAAAAAGGTTTGTTTTGAGAGACATACTCCTTCAAAATTACCAGCTTCCTCTAGGTTTAAACATTCTGCGGTGCCAAGCCTGCTTGGTTTAATTAAGAAGCACAGAGAGGAAAGCTCGCCATTTGATGCTTTGTGTGTGCCACTTTGTAGATTGCTGCCTCACTTGCACTTTCGTCAGTCAGTCCCCTCAAATATGTGCGTGCAAATTTAGCATTGGTCTGAGGATCACGTGTCAAAAGTGTTAAATAGAAGAACGGTGTCAGGTACTTAAAACGTTTCCTGCTGTATGTCTCTCCTTAGCCTCTTAATAGGAAGCTGTCGTGTATCGCCGTCTAATTTGTCATACTGTTCAGCATGAGTGGTATCGTGTCGTTACACGTTCCTCGCTAAATTTCGTTTCATGTTACTACACTCGCAGAGCAAGTTCATTATTTTCTGCAAAGAGTTACTTCTCTTTCCAACAAAGAATTGTTAACAGGCTTCCTCTGGCAGACACTGTGCCGGGGCTATGGCTTGGGCAGACCCGGCGATCTCCTGGGGCCCCACGAGTCAGTGGGCCCGATGATGGACTGACGAGAGAATAATGATAAAAAAAATTGAAAAACAAATGAGAACCCGAAGAAAATTATCGTAATTGGATACGTTGCGGTTCTGTAGTCTGATATTTCATAAAATGTTAAATTCATTTTTCACCATAAATAGCAGTCATTACTTTAGATGCAGGACTGTGAAGTGATTCAAATGACGCTAACATTAAAATAGATTCTACTGAAATTATTGCTGCTGTATTATTCGTTGTTTGATGACCGAAAGTTTGAATGAACGCTTGTGTACATTGTCCCATTACATTGTTAGAGCAATCAATGAGATTAGAAATCATTCATTGAATGATGATTTTGGTCAGCGTGCCCTGGATTGTGGGCATAATACAGAAATTTTTATTCTTATTTCATTCATCCTGTACGGCTGAATGAGTGTGGTAGTAATTTACTGTCGAATGGAATGAAAGACAATCACCGGACGTGGTGGTCTGAGATTGTTATTAAAGTTGGAACTGTCAAATTGTTGAATTGAATTAATGCCTTATTTTACGTGACGAGACTCGGGCCATCAGGCTCCCTCTTCCGTCTGACCACGCAAATTTCGCTACACTCCTTTCACCATCTAGCAGAGGAAGGAGGTATTTCTTAGGCGAGAAACAGGCGATTTTGAATTTAGCTCAGAGGCGTCATTTAGGCTTGAGGATCTTTAAATGCAAGGAAATCTACGAACATGGCAGGCTTTACTTCCCCTCCGAAGGAAGGCATAAGAAGCTGCCGTATTATTCTTCGCCCTTAAAAATCCACGGTTTCGATCGGGTTTGAACTTGGGTATACGAGTCCGATACGCTAACCGTTACACCATCACCGCGCGATTGTCGGAACTTAATCAATATTAATTTTTTTTATCTTTTATTAATATTGTGTTTATCATATTGTTTTTATTTCTAGTTGATTTTGTGTTTATCTATAACTTGGTCGTTTTTATCAATTTCTACTTTGATATTAGATAAATTAATAAATAAATAAACAAACAAAAATTGGGTACAGATAATTTATAATATTTTAAAAAAATTATGTATTTTTTTAAAAATTACAAGAATACATCAAAAAGGCTTTTATGTCGTGGTATTCAGTACAAGTACTACTCTTGTAAAAAGTTTTTTAAAAAATGGGCATTTTCTTGGAAATATTATTTTTTATGTTGTCTCAACTACTAATATTTTTATTCAGTATTTAATTGGCTGTCCGGGTGACGCCGCGTTGGTGCAAAGGTGCCGACGTTTCGGTTGTCATTCTGCGAAGGTCGAAGAATGGCGACCGAAACGACGGCACCTTTGCCATGGTCGCGGCGTCACCCGGGCAGCCAATTAAATACGGACTCCGGCCGCGGAAGGCTATGCTCTTACTAATATTTTCAAAAAACATGTATATAAAATTAATTAAAGAACTAAATTTGGAGAACGAGCTCCATTTTAAGAAGAAAATCCCCATCTTCAATTTTGTAGTTGTAATTAAAAATGACAAATTTTTGTAATTTTCGTAAAGTCAGGCGAGTGAAATTTGGATCTATGCCATCTTTTTTTAATTTTTAAAAAAATTTATTTTATTTTTAAACATTTTATTTAAGACCCATGAACAATAAACTCATCTTCTTAACATTCTATTCTTACAAGAAATTTAAAAAGATAATTTGGAATTGTTTGTGAACATTTTGAAAATGTCCAAGGACTTCATATGAATCCCCAAAATTCAATGGATTCATTTCAAATTCGCGAGGCTTTCACCCAATCCATAAAGATCAAGGAATATTCATTTTTTAGAAATTTCATTTATCAATTTTTTTCAGGAATTTTCATTCAAGTTACAATGAATAGTACACTAGTGTTCTACACATGACAGTCGGAGGGATGGAGGGACATTTTTCACTTAATCAATATTTCAGTATCAAGGACCAACAAATTGTGGATTCTGGCTACACAATATGTCAGAGGAAGTCATTTATTACTCATTGGAAGATTTATCCACTTCTTTTGTATGCGGGACCTATAAGGAATTTTTTTGGAGAAAAATCATGTTGCTTTGCCACAGCATCACCTACCTTTGCCAATATTATCTTTGTCTATACTATCTATGTATATTACTCTGTATATGTGTATGTATAAGAGGAAGTAAAAAAGCAGGTATCACTACAATTAAATTTAGTGTTTCAGTTCAAATATAAAATCTCGCTTATGTTCTGTTTCTTTTGTGATTTTTTTTAGATTCAAGTTGCTATTAAGTGCTTGAGCAGAGAACGTATGCAGAATAACCCCATTGAATTTCTTAAAGAAGCAGCCATAATGCATGGAATTGATCATGAACACATTGTTCGATTATATGGTGTAGTATTGGACACCAATGCTTTTATGTTGGTGAGTAATAGGCTTTTACAAGAAAGTTGTATTTAGATCTTGCTAGTTGAATGTAAATGACTTGAGAGATTATAACTTGAGAGAAAATCAATTGTAAGTGTGGGTGGGTAGATCATTTGTTTAGCTGGTGAAATATTATGTACTAACCGCTTCAATTTTGGAACTGGAATGCTTATTCACTTTCTGATTATCAATTCCTGTTCTCAGATTAAAATGACACTTGCTGATTGGAGGCACTTTCATCTATTTGGGATCTTCAGTTTTGAACATTATAGGTTCTGATTGGATAACAGTGCCCTCTCTAGCAGCCTAAATCACAAAGTGTAGAAAAAAATTAGTCAGAGAATAGTAAATCTCAAAGAATTTAATAGAATAAGAATAAAAGAATTTAATAATTTAAAGAAAAATTACCAAAGAATTGATTGTAAAGCTTAATAGGAGTTTTTGTAATATTTTAATTTTTTAAAAACTTTATTTACTTATATTTATTATCATTTTCAGTAATTTGTTTTCTGGAACAATGTCCAGGAAAGTTTAATAACTTGCTAATTACCATAGTAAAAAAAATCAGTTCTTTGGGCATTTGGAACATCCTTTTTTTAACAAGTGTGTTTGTGGGGTGTTTAGACATGCAGAGGGGTGAGGGTAAGAATGTGGGAATGGGCACAGATTGTGGATATGTTTATGTGAGTGCACTATAGGAATAATTTAAATACAATTTTTTACAGATATTAATATTTTCACATTGTGAGTTTTTTATTACACAAATTGCATTTTAATAGAATTTTTGTTAATGTCTTGTGTGACAAACTTTTTTAGGTGACGGAGTTAGCGCCTCTAAGGTCATTACTAGAATGTCTCAAGGAACCATCTCTACGCTCCAGTTTCAGTGTTCCTACGTTGTGTGATTTTGCAATTCAGATATGTGATGGGATGCAATATTTAGAGATAAAAAGACTTATTCATAGGTAATGCATATAGTGTTTGATATACTCTATTCCTGCGATAAATTACTTTAAATTGCTACTTTGATTGATTCATTTGTTTTTTCAGGGATTTGGCTGCCCGTAACATTCTGGTTTTTTCAAAGAATAAGGTTAAGATCTCTGATTTTGGTCTGTCTCGGGCCTTGGGTGTAGGAAAAGATTATTACCAGACAAATTTTAATGTGAATTTGAAATTGCCAATAGCATGGTAAGTACCTCTTTTATTCACAGTGGTAACAGCTAGAAGTTGTGCACATATCCTATGTTATTTTACATTTTACGTTATATCGTTATTACATTTTATCTTGTATTAAATGAGGTAGACTGTAAATTATTTGGTGGTATATAATTTTTCATATATCTATGTATTTATCATATAAAACTTGCAGTCTAAGTAAAAAATATACTTTTACAATTTCACTACTGACATTTTAACTGCTAATATCATTAGTTTGTGTGGAGTTATGAAGGTAGTCGTAAAACAGTAAATTATTTTCACTTCAGTTTCACTAATTTCACCTCAGATGAGAGTTCCATGTGTTGACAACGTGAGTGGTAATCAAGTAGTATTGATGCCCAGCTTTTGGTTTTTTACTTCCCGAGTTTCAAGGAGTGTCCTTCTAGACTGGTGTTGTTGGATCTAGTAAATAGGGTAGTAAATTGTGATATGTTGTCAAATCCTTTCATAATTGTGTAGGTTTCTGTGGTATCAGCCCAGATTCTCCCAGTCATTTCTCAACATCTGTCTTAATATTGATATTGTTGGTAGTTTCTGGACATTTTTGTGCCTTTTCTTAGTACCTTTTCTAGACGTTTGAGGTCTTTTTTATAATATGGAGATCGTGTCATGTTTGCCTATGCAATTTGGGATCTAGTGTATACAATATGATTTCATAGGGATTGGAAATGTGTTTAGAGTGGAAAAGGGTTTTCTAGCAAGTTCAACAAACATTTTGTTTCTTGGCGGTAACTATTTGTCTTGACCATTTTAAATCATTTGTAACTAGTTCTTCCAGGTCGTTGTTGATTCTAATGTATGATTTCCAATATTTTACATTCATGTGGGGTTGTTCTCACCCAACAAACAATGTATTTGTTGGGATTTAAAGAAAGCTACCATGTTTTCAACCAGTTATCCACCGTGTTGATGTCATCTTGTAATCACAGTAGTATGTGATAGGATTTGCATATAATTTGATGTCGTCCATGTATGTTTTGGTATGATAGACTGTGTTGCAGTTCAATTGTATATAAAATGAATAGGATAGATCTGAAAACTCAACTTTGAGGGACGCCAATTGTGACCAGTATAGGCTGTCGATTCTGTGTGATGGTTACATCGATAGTGTGTAGTGGTAACTTCAAATGTTTTGTCAATGTGGTATTTTGGAATCCATCTAAGGTTGCTGCAGTGTACACAAGCAGAGGAGTTTGTGAATTAATTGTCCATGTGGTATTTAGGGAAAATCTAAGTAGAGGTCATTCAAAGGCTGTCCTTTACCTTTTGCTCTTGCCCATTCATCAATATAAAGAATCAAATCCATACTAAACCAGTTTGAAGTTGTAGATAATGACTTTCCAAACATTTCTGGTTAAACTTAGATTTTTGATGTCTGATAGTCCTTTCCTTTTAAAATGGGTGTTACCATTTTTCCACTTGGGGGAGATAATCTGTATCCATGGAAAATCTAAACATGATATTCGGTATTGCCTAGTTGGTTTCTGCAATTTTCTATGCATATTGTTGGAATGAAACTAGAGGAGTTTTGTTTTAATTCTCGCAAAATTCAAATTTGCTTCATTTGTTCAGGGGGATTCAGACAAAATTTTCTGCAAGTCAGAAAACGAGTAAATTATTACTTTCTTTCCCCATAACTCAGTGTTCTTTAATCTGTGATTTCCCAATATCTTTCTTTACCTCTGGAGTCCCATTCATGTGAGAAACACGAAAGTTTTGTAAATCCTCCTCTGTTGCCCCACTACTGCACAAATTCAGTTTGCTGTGTATGTCCTACTTGTGTTTGTTACATTGCTGTTTTTGCACAAGGGCACCTCTTAAACTTCTTTTACTAGAACTCGTAAAAAGATGCCAGTTGTTTGATTCATATGCTTTTCCTAGACCAATCAAGCTAGGAACAAGTTCTCCTTCCTTCGAAAAATACCTTTGAAATCATCTTCTTGATTTCTGTAATGGTAGAAGGTAGTTCTACAGGCTTAAACATTTTCTTTCAATCTTGTACCTCAAATCTACTTTTTGGTTTGGAAAGAGCTGTTGCTTCCCAGATCATTCAATTATGATTAAGTCAATAGAAAATCAGTAGACATGAAGTATCTTCTATATGAGGAGTTGCTCAGGCTAACTTCTGCACCTGAAGTGGACTAAGAACTGATAGTAGTATCTAGCAATGCAAGAGAGAGTACTCTATTTGGAACACCTAGTGCATGTGCCACGAGTCACATTGCTGAAAGCTGATTTGGATGGATGATGGTGGTCTTGTCCTCATTATTAAATCCAGATATTGTTTTATTCAGCCTCCAAAGAATGGCAAGCAGGTGTCATTACTAGGGTTGTTGCGCACCTGGAATACCTGGAAAAGGCAGGGAAAGGTCAGGGAAAAGAACAAAATTTCATGGGAATTTTTAAGTTAACCTTCCGTCACTCGTGTAGTTGAAGTTTGTCCAACACTTTTGCCTTTTTTAGTGGTATTTCTTTCCGGTGTGACATTTTCGCTTCTTCTCTCATTACTTCTCTCATGGCCAAGGAGATATTGAATGTGGGTTTTCAGTGAAAAAGCAGTGTCTCATCGATAACATGTCGGAGAGATCATTAGTGGTTCACTGTCTGGGGGAGGGGTTCAGAGCCAAGGAGGAATGAACAAAATTGAAATTATAAAAGGCATGTGCCATTATGTGAGAAACGCTCATAGCCAAATATAGAGATGAGATTGAAGAAATGAAAAACAAAGATGCCATAAGAATGAGTAGAGAGCTGGAAAAAGAAAGGTGAAAGAAAGACATTGTAAACTGAACGGGAAAAAGAGAAATTGCAACTGAATAAGTTAACATGGAAGAAGAAATTCTCAAGGTGATGAGTGTTTTGAATAAATAAGTTTCATTTTAGTTTAGAAAGATAGACGTTGAATAATTATATTTGTATTACCATCAATTATTTATTGTTAATTTAGTTTAAATCATTTGTGGTATTATGTAATCTGACTAAAAAAGGGATTATATCGTTTATATGAAATTGTTCAATATATATCTATGTAAATTCTAATAAATGTCTTTATATTGTTTGAAAATACTTTCTGTGATATTTCAAACGACCTGGAAAATAAGATTTTTTGGATATGGAAAATCTGGAAAAGGCAGGGAATTTCAAAATATTCAAAGTGTAACAACTCTGATTATAAATTTGCACAAGAAAGGAGCAAAAAAAATTATAACAATTATAGGGGAATAACTCTTATACCAATAACTCTTATACCCATAGCAACAAAACTTTCTGCCAACATAGTAAGAAATAGAGGGAATGAATAGAGTGAAACAGTATTGGCAGAAAAACATAATGCTTTCAGAAGAGTAAGGTGTACAAAACATGCAATATTTACATTACAAACAATAGCCAGGTGCATTGAAGTGAATCTACTGACTTACCTCTTATTCATGACCTTAAAGAAAGCATATGACAAAGTAGACCGTGAATTAATGTGGTAAAAACTAGAAGAGAACATACCTATAGAAATTAGGAGACAAATCCCAACTCGCAGATGAAGATAAATACGAAGAATGGGAATGTGTCAAAATCTTTCACAACAAACATGGGGTTAAAGACAGATGTGGCCTGTTGCCAAGCTTCATTATGATATATGTCAACCATATAATCAATGAATGGAAACCAACTATAAGTAAGGAAATAAATATCAGTAAAAGACAGAAGATTCAAATAATCCTGTAGGCAGATGATATAATGGAATCAGAAGATGACTTGAAAATACAGCATATGAAATGTATAAAATAGCACCAAAACATAAGGAAATTTCCACAAACAAGACAACAGCAATGTCATATCTAGGGGAAAAAATGACAAGAGTGAAAACTGTCGTAAATGGGAAGATGTTAGAACAAGTAGATAAATTCAATTATTTGGGCAACTTCATTGGATAGAGATTAGAAGACACGGACAACAAACTTCTGAATTACAAGAGAATGAACAGATTAATCAAAAAATACTTTGGAAGATATATGACTCGAGAGACTAAACTAAAAATGCACAGTAGGATATCTAAACCAATCCTCATATATGGGTCGGAAGTCTTGACAATGAACAGTAGCGAGCAACAAAGACTAGAGGCGCAAATGAGATTCCTATGTCAGTAAAAACAAGAGAAACAGGTTGAAGGCTAAAAATAAAGTGGAATAAATAAAGGATTGACAGAGCAAATGGCTTTCTCACATTAACAGAATGAAACAAGGAAGATTCCCAAAAGCGGTGATGAAGTACGAACCAATAGGACGAAGGGATGTGGGAAGACCACAAAAGAAATGGCTAAATCAGGAACACGTTTAGGAGTAAGCCTTGCGGTGAGAAATAGAACAGGTGTCAGGCCTAGAAACCTACAGTTGATGATGATGATGATGATGATCATGATCATGATATTGTTTTTTTGTTATTTTGTAAGGCTTCTCAACAACTAGGCTTCATTAACTTGTTGTGACTTACTATGTACTATGAAAAGTTTTTATCTTGCACTAGTGAGATCGTTATTAGCATGTACACATTAGACATTAATGCAGTCGCCCTCTTTAGATGTGTGTGTAAATCGCATAGAAACTGTTCCAACACATTTTTCAGATTTCTTGCACCACATTTTGGTCTTTCCTGTCATTGATTGTAATTACAGTGCAGTTGCATTGGTTGTGAATATTCCTTCTTTTCAGTCCCTGCACGTTTCTAATGGTATCAATTTTTTTATATACATGTCAATTATAAAATAAATGTTGCTATTTTGTTAAATATATAAAATTCAAATATGTTAATGGGATTCCAAGATCAAATGATATTTTTGTTACTGAAAACTTACGTTCAAGAAGTATGTTTAATAATTCATTACATAGACTGTAGCATAATAATGGATTTAATGTTGACATTTTGGAAGCTGACGTTGCAAATTTACCTTTGTTGTGTACCTTTTTAAGTTTTGAATAAAGTTCTTACAATTTATAAGTATTTGTGTCTTTTGTTATTTTATAAATATTATATTTACATTGAGCTGTCATAGTTGCTACTGCTGCTTTGGGAAAGAAAAAAAAGAAAGAAAAAAAATTGTAATAATTGTATTTATAATGAACTCATGACTGTCAATGAAAATAAATTAAATTAAAATAAACACAGCTTAAAATAGCATTTTTTTGCATGAAATTTTCTGACTATAAAAATTCATTTATTTGTAATAATAATTACAGAATAAGAACAGAAACAATGCTTCTTCAAGTTTTGGTTCATGTTATTTTGTAATAATTTAGATAATAAGTCTTAATTTGTTGACAGGTGTGCTCCTGAAAGCATAACTTTTTTACGGTTTACTTCATCATCAGATGTCTGGGCTTATGGTGTTACACTTTGGGAAATGTTTAGCTATGGTTTTCAGCCTTGGGCTGCCCTCACTGGTCAACAGATTCTGGATGCAATTGATGAACCCAATTTTCAGGTAGAGTATAATTATTTTAAATTATATTAATGTTCATTTACAGTTCTAGTTTATTTCAAAATATTTTAAATCTTCCTGTATGAAAGCTATTTGTTGGCTACTTAATAGAAAACTTTTACACAAAACTTTTGGCAAAAGCAAGGTTTAATGAAAGAAAGGGCAATTGATGTGGTTGCAGTTTGAGTGGGTGTCACACAATGTATTTATTTACCAAACTAAACAGACTTAAATATAGTAATTTAAATATGTTTTGTTAGTGTTGTTCCAAATCATTCCTGTTTTAGAGTGCAACTGTTTGCGATAAGAATGAGTTAAAAATTACTCGTGCACAAAATGAGTAGCTCAAGCAACTGTTAACAATTATGAATACTTAAATGGGTTTTGTTAATATTTTATTTGAAAAATTTCAAATTATTCTGATTACTAGAGTTCTTAAATTGTCAAGTTTTGTTTATTTGTGTTTTTACTAATTTGCAATTCCCAGAATTGTGATTTATAAAAAAATTGCCTACAATTCCTAAAATTATCACAAATATGTGTTTTCTATTTTTCATTCAATTTTCATATGAAAGTGAAACATACAAATACCCATATTTATCCAAATATAAGACTATGTTTTTTCCTAAACATCTCATTCAAAAAATACAGGGACATCTTATATTCCCAGATTAAACATAGTCTGTTAGGATTTATGTTTTTACATTGCCTTTCCATCTGGTAAAACTTGTAATGTTCATGTAACAATAAGCTGCAACGAATATAAAAACATCACTCTTATCAATAATATCTACGGAATTATATTTGCATTCAAATTCTCATCATCACAACGAATTTGCTGAGCGATTCAGACTCATAATTTTGTATGGGCCTGGAAAGAGAGAATCTCAACTGAATGGCATTATATAAAGTGAAATTCAATATGAAAATTAATAAAAATTGTTACCAAGATCTTTTTACATGATGTGTGTTAAGGGATTGACGAGGCTGCGCACACCCTCGGTTTAATGTCTGATGAGTGTGGATCTGCATTTTGCAAGAGACAAATGAAAAAATACAACCCAATCTCGTAAACTATAAACATTGTGATTTTGCAGTATATTTTGTTAAAGAATGTGAAAGAACTGTTTAGGAAGCAGAGCAGATCGGGATAAGAGGGGCCTAGAAATTTGGAGGTCATCGCGGTATTGGTGGAAGGCCAAAATGAAACAATGATACGTGTAAAGATGAAGAGTTTAGTGATAAAAATCATGATTATGACGATTTTAAGAAACATGAAAATAGTGTTAGCTCAGGGGTAAATTATACTATTTTCATTCACAAGACAACTTTCTAGTCAATTAGACAATTTGCAATTTTATTTTGACTAAATAGTAAGAATTAGTTAAAAAAATTGAAAAAACGCTCATGAGGTCTCTCAAAATTAGGTTGTCTTATATTCAAAGTTGACTTATTAACGCAGGATTGTTTATTTATTAAGTAATAATTAGAATGTAGAACAGTTGGGTAATGAATTTTAGTGATAATTATTATTTAATGTTTTGTGAGAGCGTAGGTTTCCGTGGCCGGGGTCAGTATTTACTAGGCTGTCCAGGTGCCACCTTCGCACCCTTGGCACCTTCGCCATGGACGCGGCGTCACCTGGACAGCCTAGTAAATATTTAATGTTTTGCTGTATTTGAAACTAATAAATTATCTTTTGCACATCAGAATACTTTCTGTTTCTTGGAATATAATTTGTTTCAATACTGTCATTCTTCATTCTATTAGTGACTTGCCTTGCTTTTCAGTGGAATGTATTTGTGTACCCAAATTTTTATTAGATTTACGACTAATTTGTTGTTTTTTTTCTTTCAGAGATTAGAACAACCTGAATGTGCCCCAAAGGAGTACTATGGTATTATGTTGAAATGTTGGCAGCATGATCCCAACAAGAGACCTCGGTTTGCTGATTTACTGAATTTACTGCCTGAGGTATGATAGTATTTTAATATTTACAGACAGGAGTCATAGCTCTGCTTTATATAACTTCGCTCTCTCCACCCAAGGCATCATATTGACTCGTCATACACGATTGTAATTGTATATGTGACTCAATAAATATTATTATTATTATAACCTGCTTGTTAAAAAGGATTTTCCTGGACCGGTTTCCAATTTTCATTTTATTGTAAAATGGTGAGGATAACACTGGTTAAGGATTAAATGTGTTTAATTTTAATGGAACTTAATCAAGCAGTAATTGTGTTTGTAGTTCCTTCTTCAAGTGTACGTCACAGCCTATGAACTGCCGATCTTTTAGAATAATTATTTGGTTTATTGAATTTGCAGTGTAAACCGGAACAAGTACAAGCTGTGCAGGATTCTATTGAAGATGGAAGTAAGCCCAAAAGAGATCAACTGACATACTCTGTAGGAGAAGTTATCACAGTATTGGACAAAGGGTGAGTGTTTTTAACGTACAAGATGACTGGATTTAAATTAAATTATTTTATGAAACTATATTTAATTTAATTCAATACTTTCTATGTCAAAATTTTAAAACAATCTCTATTTTCATCAAGTAATGCAAAACATCTTTAAAATTGGTGTGTAAGGAGGGTGTGGAGTACATATAAATTCACTCTGTAATACTATATGTAATTTTGTACTAATATCGCTGTCTTGCATGATACTTTCACCTTACATTTATATTATTAAGTTGGGAAAAGAAGCCAATACTTGATCATGCAAGTATCGCGTGCATAGATAGCGCTGCAGTTACGCAACTTGTGATGCATTCGCAGCTGAATTTCACTTCACACTCTGTGATCACAGAAGCCTAGTGCATTTTTAGTCCTCCACCATCTGTAATGTAAGTTCATCTTGTAAGATCTGTAACTTTTGAATATATGTACACCAAGTCACTGACTTTTGACAGCTCAAATTATGAGAATTCAGAGATAACAACACAGGCAGGATCACTTCAATAAAAATAATATCAAAGGCGTAACATACAACTCTGCAAATCTAGATGTGTGAATCGTGTACTAGTAAAGCTGTAGATTCACTTTGATTGACCATTGAGCTGTGAGGTCGAAGAAGAACGAGAACAAGAAGATTCCCGTTTCTTTCCTCATTATTCTTAATTATTTATTATTAGAGTAGAAACTCACTAATCCAGCCCCTACAAATCCGAATTTTTGGATAATCAGAACAAAATTCGGGAAGGAGGAAAAATAAATAAAATGCCAATTTGTAGTCAGAAAAGATTTTTAATTACTGTAGAACTAAAAAACTAATTATTCAAACATATGTTATTGAAATGAAACCTTTATTGCACTGGTAACTACAGTTATATAAATAGGCATCTGTAGCAGTAATTTTCACTTCGAGAAACTTGCAAAAACCATAATCTTCTTTTGCTGTAAGGCACTGAATCTGCTTGATGATCCAATGTGATAATGCGATGGCTAGGCTGCGTTGCCATTTTCTCACTTCGCATGCTATGTTGCATTGTCTGGTAATCCTATAGGTGTATTTGTTTATGTATGGTACATATTCCGAACTGACCACACCGCAAATTAGTTTGGATTACCGGGGTTCTACTGTACTATAGTTAGTAAAAATAACAATAATGTACAAACACCCATCATTGTGCTCAATCTACATAAATAAAAATTGGAGTGCTTGTGATTTCATAATAACTCCTTTGTTTAATCTCCTATGGTTATTTACATTATATAATAAACAATTCAGTTGATTTTATAACTTTTGTTTATCTGTTTGTCTGGGTAATCTCGGGATCAGCTAATGATTTTGAATGAAGTCTCCACTGAAAGGAGGAGTATTTTGTGGGGTATAACTTTGGTTACTTTTTTTTCACGTTATTTTCCGCCATGAAAATAATGTTTCTTTTTCCATTCAAGTCTCCAGTTTTATGGTGATCGTAATGAAGTTTTGTGCACATGTACTTAAAAATTAGAAAAAAAAATTCTGTCAACATCAGATTTCATAAAAATTATCTTCATCTAATTCAGTCAGGTGATTGACTTTCTGCCTAGATGTTCTTTACATATTTTACATTTTATATTTGCCCTTATCTCTTGGTTTCTCACTTGGCATACTTCTTCCTGTACACCCTCCTATTTTTTGTTCTCTGCTTTGGTAAAAAGATGTACTTATATGTTAATTTACAGAGTCCTTTACTTTCACCCTCTGTATTTAATTTCTTGTTAACTTGATGTTCAGATTGTCTTCCAATTTATTTAGTTAATCATGTTCATCAGATCCTTGTTACTTGACAATTACCTCCCATGGAACTTTTATTGTTAAATTGTAAATTGTTAAATTTTCAAAACCGTTTGATTTTATTGAAACAATGCACTTACATTTCGGAGCAATAAGTCTGGCTCCTTCATCTGGTACATTGGAACAATTACTACCTTATCCTTTTGCTAATGGCTTTTAGATCATTGTTACCTTGCTTATTCACTGGCCATTCCATTTATCAGCTGATAGGTGCATAATAAATTTAACATCAACCATAAGCCTCAGGGTCGGCTTTGGATTCAGTTATATTGAGTCTTTATCGAGGTGCTTTTGTTATCTCTGTGTGACCAAGTATTACGCGTCAGCTCTGCGTTACGACGATCACCATCAGCTAATAACTGGCATGGCCACCGAATAAGTGAGACAACAATGATCTAACAGCCATTAGCAAACAGGCTAAGGTAGTAATTGTTTCAATGTACCTGAAGAAGGAGCCAGACTCGCTCCTAAATGTTGTGAAAGTGTATTGTTTCAAAAAAATAGAAGTTTTTAAAATTTAAATAAGTTTCCTGTTTTAATAAGGGGATAAAACTGTGTTTTATCTCATGATGTCTCCTCTGGTTTTCAAGATTCTCCCAAATCCACTTCCACTGTGTTTTATACCTTTCAGTCACACCATTTACACTCGGAACTTGCTTATCATGGTCACATATCCTCGTTTACTCACAATTTACCTGAAAGTTCTTGATGAATAATAAAAACCATTATTACATTTAGGCAACTCTAGAAAACTATCTAATGAAAAACATTTATGCAAATTCTTTTATTTGGAAAAGTCTTAAAAATGTGTATACTCACAAAACTTGTGCAATAATTTGCAATTGCACTTGATATCTCAAAAAACAAAAAAGTGCAATGAACCGTTTAGGTCAGGGTTGTCCAACTGATGGCTCGCAGTGCCATTTATCATGGACCGTGAAATGTTATTACTCCATATGTGAAAGTCCTGCATCCTTGTCAGGCGAGAACATTACCCGCCTAGAACATGAGCTGTGAGGGTCATCTCCACCTTATTTCAGATCAGCCAGGCGAACTGCCGAGATCAACAATACAGGGTCACAATAGAAATATGACGTTCAACCATATTAAAGGTTTTAGTTCTCGCCCTTCAGGCCTTGCCAGTTGGATACCACGGGTTTAGGTTATTCCCTTTGACATGTTCTTTTATAACGAATAAAGATATAAATAAGCTTGCCAATAATCGAATATTGTGTAACATTCCTTTTGGAATATTATGTTTCAGCCCTTTGCCAAATGTAAACAATTGTTGGAAAGGTGTATTAAACAGTGGTAAAACTGGACTTTTTAATCCAGCTCATACAGTTGCATATTTAGGATCTAACCTGCCTTCAACTAAACCAGGTGAAATTGTTCGTGGAGGTAAGTTGTAAGTATTAAGGAAAAATATGAATATTAACTTTTTCTACTTCAAGCAATAATTATCGTTGTTCTTGCAGATGGCAAAAACACCTATTCTTCTCGACGGCGGCTACGCCCTGATATGATATCATCTCCCCAAGGTGATTTAAAACACACCGGTCACGTGGGTCTTGATGGAGCTTATTTTGGAGATATCCCATTTTTGGGTGGCAAGGTATTGTTTTAAACATATTTGCAGCTTATATTTAAGAATTTGGAAGAAATTATGAGTACATGTTGAGCATTAAGAGTTCAAATAAGTTCTCATGTCTGTCTTCAGCAATATCACCATCTCCCACACCAAATAGTTACTCCATACAAACCTCAGGATGACACTGGTCCTCCAGAAACAGAACATGGATCTTTAATTCGGACTTCATCTGTGGCATCTGATCGGGCACCTCTTATTTCTGGAGAGCCAAATAAAGCAGGAGTATCTGGAGGTAAATATTTGCCAGTTTTTAAGAAAACACTGTTTTGAATCACAAATTGTATTCTCTCTGAGTAATAATAATGAATTTATCTCTAGAGAGTACAACCTCTGAAAGCACAAAAGCTGGAACAAAGTTCTTACTAGATCATGAATATCATGAGATAAGTGATGAGGAGACAACTGTTGATAGCCCACGTTTTGAGGTGAGTTTTGGTTATGAAATTATTCATCATATGAAAGACTCAAGCATAAAATATGATAATTCTCAAAATTGTCCTTTTTGTGTTTGTATGTTTGGTTACTGTAGTCTGTTGTACCTGTGGTTGTCATTTTTATGAAAACTACCCAGAATGTTCATTGCTTATATCTTGAAACCATTTTCATGAGGGTTACCGTGATTGACGTATGAATCCTTCATGTTTGCAGTTGCTTTGATATTTTCAGTGCATTGTTGCTTATTACTGGATTAGTGTGTGTAAAGTATGCTTCTGAGAATATCAATGACTCAAGAAAAGTCTTCTCTATACATAATAAATTTAGGAAAGAGTAGGATTTTTAATAATTTGTAAGAAATCGTCGCGAAAACATCCTACTGATGGTTAAAGTAGTATCCTTCGGTGGTGCCCTCGATTTGAGGCAAAAAACAGAAGTTCACAGATTGGTATAGGGACATTCTATTACATGTCGTAAAAGATTCCATCATCATGTAGTAAAGGTTGGCAGAAACACTGGTAGTTGCATTCCATTGTGAATCTATTTTCACTCTGAAAACAATGTGTGTGTGTTTTGCAGTTTTCTATGAAAGGGACCGATTAGAACTTCGATACAATTTTGGAGGTTTTCCTCTTCTGGGAACCCCAACTTCGTATTTTCTCTTTGTTAATTTGTTTTTTCTAGACTTGCAGGACTCTGTGTAAAGGTGTTTCTAAACCCCATAGTACATAATTTTATTTCTTAATAATCCCCCAAAAGATAGGTAAAACTTCACTTAAACATTTTTCAGGGGGACTGAAGGGAAATATGGAAAATTAAAATTGAATACTATGAGCAAACGAAAATTCAATGTTTTTACATTGGTACGTTTCACTTTTGGACCAAAGTTATTTTTGGTTTATTTAGTCAAAGAACAGTAAAAACTGATGTGACGTGGGGATGGGGGTGGGGGTACCATCTGCGCATGTTTTCTTTATCTCCAGAATCTATTCCCAACATTTTAACTATAAATAGTTGAATGGTGAATAAAAGTTGTAAAAGAAGCAAAGTTAGAAACTTTTGAAAACTAGACATTTTTGCTCTTAAGTTATATAAAACTTTACATCGGTAAACAAACTGCAAATTTTTTTTTAGTACCCCCCCCCTCCGGGCTCTACTCCTACCACTACTAGCAAAAGGTGAACTTGCATTTAAGGCCACAAGCAAAACAAGGTGCCATCTCAGCATTTGCTCAGTGGATCAAGGGAACTGGACAAAACCTGATCGAGGCCGGAAGCTGAAGTACAATACTTGTTACACACGCGGGCCAGACCTAGGCACGCGCGGTGGAAAATATAGCACTGATATTTGCACGTGATACAGCCAGTCCTTTCGACCTGTGTTACAGGGGCGTTGCGTTGACGCGCGTCGATGCATGCGCACACGAGTCGCTCAACGCGTTAATTCACGCGAAATCTTGTGCAAAATGGCACGCGAGCGGTCGGTAGGCAACGTGCGTTGTGCCCACAGCCCAAGCTACCAACACATGTCATGAGAACGCGCGTTTTCTAGCTTTAAACGTGCGACGCGCGTTGGCCAAGCGCACATGTGCCGTTTTGCACAAGGCACAATGTCAATCTACGACTCGCGTTCCATGACTCACGTGCACAGAGAAAATGCTTTCTTCTGACATGCGAGGAAATGATCATCGCAAATCAAACTACCGTTTCAAGGTTTTTTAATAAGCTAGTACTCGTGCTTTTGCCCTTCCCAAGATCTTCAGAAAGCTCCCGTATGCACTCGGCTGACATTTTTCGAAGTTCTGCTGGAGGTGACCCGGGAGCCGACATTGCGCTGCCACCCCGCGGGCTCGCGCTGTCTTGGCCCATCAGCTAGACAGAGTCAAGCTTATATGTATGTGTATGTATGTATGTGTATATTATTATACACATATTATTAATTATATATATATATATATATATATATATATATATATATATATATATATAAAAATAATATATATATAAATAATATATATATAAAAATAATATTACAAGTTTCATTAACTGGAAGTTGCCTCAGAGGCCAAGCGGCATGTCTGCGGAAGCGATTGTAGAAAGTGAATCTTTGTGTTAAACACCTTATGGAATTTAACTCTCACTCACACTACCTCCCACATATATTTTGGACTCTGATTGGACCTTTGCAATTTTAATGAGTGTAATTAGTGTACTGGGCATTCCGTTGTTCCTCAAAACAATAAATAGTTGCTTCCATTTGATACTGTCAAAAACTTGCTTAAAATCAATAAAGAGCATATGTAGATGATATTATATTCATAGTATTTTTCCATCATTTGCCTAATAGTGAATATTTTGTTAGTGGTTTCTCTATTTATCCTGAAATCACATTGGTAGTCATTTAGTATTTTTTTTCTGCAAAATTATTCACTTTTTTGTACTAACCTTGAATATATTTTATATAAATAAATTTCTCTTGTGTATATATTAGCAAGCAACACCTAAAGTATTTCAGTCCTCAATTGCTCCAACTTTAAACATTTAACACGCTGTTTAGTGATAGAAAATGATATATCGTTGAATATGTTAAAATGTAAGATGTTTCATTTGGGTGAAAAACGCGCAGAGACTATTGTCCCTATTTGGGAAACAGATACTGAAAGTGATAGTAAAGATGAAATCTGTGAAGTATGTGAAAATTTCAACATTACTTTCCAAATTTTATATTTCACATTAATGAGGCCAATACTTAGTATGTATGTGTTGCGAATGTGGTCACTTTTTTACCAGAACAGAATTAATGAAATAAAGACAATTCAGCATAAATTTCTGAATTGAGAAGTGAACAAAGAACATCTATTATCCCTATATATTGTTCACAAATATTCACAAATTTCTGTTACAAGTATGAATCCTCTAGAATCATTCAAACGATTGAATGTTATATTTTTGTATAAGAACATAAAAAGAAATGTATGCACTGTGCTCACCCTTTCCTGACTGCACCTCTGTGTAGTTCTTGATTCCAGCCAACTGATATTTCGTCTTTACATTGACTTATTTGATAAATCGGCAGGGCATTTCTATCACTTTTGAAAAGTGTTCATTTTTCAAGAGAGGTAAAAAATTCAGATAATGCTTATAGGTTCTTACATAACCATAATTATTACACTGAAACGTACATTATTTTTCGTTATTATTTTATTGGCATCAACAGTGATACGAAAATAGGAATACATATTTTGGAATATACATGTGCTTAGGCTGTATACATTTGCAAATTCACATCAGCCATCTTCCAATGGCAGCTCTCTGCTGTTTTAGGCAGAAACACAGAACACAAACAAACATCTTGGTAGGTGCTGCAACGTGCTGGATTTTTTCTAAATGCTTCAAACACTACTGTCGTGATCGAATGGTGGTCAACTAAATCTCTCCATTTCTTTAGCACAAATCTTGAAACATGAAAATGAACGTCACTCAGGCTTTGTTAGAAAAGCGTCCAAACAGAGCACAAGTGAAACCCAGAAAGTGTTAATGACACATGTGTAAACATTGTTCTCCAGAGTTTTGTATTATTTTAGTTGCATTTCTTGTAGACGATGCGTTATAGGAGCGAGTCATGGAAATGAAAATTAAATTTGTATACATGTTTTGGATGTACAAATTCCCCATCAGTCATCAGAATGATGGTTCATAGGGTAAACCCAAGCTCAGGCTCGCTGGTGTAAGAGAGGAAAAAAGGAATTAGTTGAAGTTCGTTTGTATGAAATATTTAAAACAAAGCAGCTGCACGAAGCACTTGTAATTGCCAGTTATCCATCATTTATGCATTACTACTTATTTTATTGATTACTCTTGATTTATTACTTTATTTTTATATTTTACCAAACTTTGCAGAATTCCTTTGACTTTGGACCAAGTCTGCTTGATGAAATGGATGCTGTTTTTCGTTCACTGGGCACCTCAGTGCCTCCTGCTTCTCCAGGGCCACCTCCATCACCTGCTTCTCCTTTGGATGAAGCTATCAACGTACGGAATGAATTACGAGAAATGGCTGCAAAAGTAACAGGAAAAAAGAAGCAAGCTACGGTAATGATTTAGAGATGCCTAAATAGTAAATTCAATATTTACTTTATTCTTAGAAATTACAAATCACAAGAGCCCCATGAACGTATGAAAAATGGGATCCTATTATTTTGTTTGGGTGCCTTTTAAATTAAAAAAAACTTTCTTTCCTTCTCTCTCTCTTTCTTTCTTCTCTCTCTCCTCTCCTCTCCTTCCTCTCTCCTCTCTTTCTTTCTCTCTCTTCTCTTCTCCTTCTCTTCTCTCTCTCTCTCTTCTTCTCTCTCTCTCTTCTTCAGTCCGTGTTTTCTTTCCTTCTATCTTCTTCTTCTCATCTCCTCTTTCTTCTTCTCCTCTCTCTCTCTTCTCTCCTCTCTCTCTTCTTTCTCTCTCTCTTCTTCTCTCTCTTCTTCTCTCTCTCTCTCTTTCTCTCTCTCTCTCTTCTTCTCTCCTCTCTCTCTCGTCTCTCTCTCTCTTTCTCTTTCTCTCTGCTTTTATATCCTTCTTCCTATCCTCTTTTTTTTTTCCCTTTTTTTCTTTTCTTCATTCTCTCTCTTCTCTTCGCTATCTTCTCTCCTCTCTTCAGTCAATCTTCTCTTCTTCTATCTTACTCTCTCTCTCTCTATCTCTTCTCTCTCTCTGTTCTAATCTTCTCTCTCTCTTCTTTCTCTCTCTCTCTCTTCTTCTCTCTCTCTTCTTTCTTCTCTCTTCTCTCTCGCCTCTTCTCTTCTCTCTCTCTCTCTCCTCTCCTTTCTCTCTCCTCTCCTCTCCTCTCTCCTCTCCTCTCTCTCTCTCTCTCTCTCTCTCTCTCTCTCTCTTCTCTCTCTCTCTCTCTCTTTCTTCCTTCTCTCTCTCGTCTCCTTTCCTCTCTCTCTCCTTCTCTCTCCCTCTCCTCTCTCTCTCTCTCCTTCTCTCTCTCTCTCTCTCCTCTCTCTCTCTCTCTCTCGCTCCTCTCCTCTCTTCTATCTCTCTTCTCTCTCTCTCCTTCTCTCTCTTCTCTCCTTCTCCTCTCCTCTCTCTCTCTCTCTCCTCTCTCTCTCTCTCTCTCTCTCCTCTC